TGGAACATCTTCTTGAATAAGCAATCAAATAAGTACTTATGGAACATATTCTCAAATAAACACTTCTTGGACATATCTCGAAAATTATGAATGAATTTTGATTGTCAATTGAAACATTAATCAATCTAATATTATTTAGAATGCAGAAAATAAGTTAAACTAACTTCATCTTGACGAGAATTTTTTTTTTTTTTTTCATGAAAAATTTGCTGAAATGAGTGAAAATTTAAAAAAAACGGTGTATTTTCCAGGATAAAATCCGTACAATCCGTACAATTTGAAAACAAATCCGTACAATCCGTACAATCCGTACAATTTTAGGGTTAAAAAAAATCAATCCGTACAATCCGTACAATCCGTACATTTTGGCCACCCTGTATATATAGAGGGATTCCCACACAGTGTGAGAAAAGAAGACTTTACTTTGATGTGTATTCATTACAATTGTCAACATAGAGTTGAAATTGGTAATTTAAATAAAATCCCCTTCTTCAAATCATGGATTAATATCATAAAAAAGTAAATTTTAAGGTTTTAATTGAAAATACAAAAGGGCAAGAGGCATGGAAACTCAAATTTTTCATTTTTAAAAAGATGTTTACTCCAAACCTGATCATCTGTTGCATAGCTCTAAACCTCCTGTTCTTGACCTTCTGTTCCCGAACAAACTTGCACTGCTGCTGCCTCGCCTCACGGAGAAAGAATTCGACCTCGTAGTTCTCGTCTGCTCCGAGATCCTCGAAATACTCAAGATGATCCTCGCTCAGGTAGGTTCCAAACCTCTGGAGGAATAAAGCAGGTTTGGTTTCCAGTAGTTCTCCAGCAATTCTTTTCTTCTCCTGAAATACAACAAGAATGAAAGAAAATGTAAAAGAGAGACTCTAGAAAAATAAAGATTACTGCTTCAGAACTTAATCATTCTGTTCTCACTGTATGCGCTAATAAAATGCAAATCCCAAGTGAAATGTTATTGCATGTTTAACCGAATTTTTTTAACAAAAATGTTTTAGATTTAATTTTCAGGCGACAAAACATGAAAAACTTGGAAAAATAAGAAATATTTGATTTGACAATGTCAGAAATCAAAATCAAATCAAATCATGAGTGTTAGGGAAAGCTTTAGGCTCCACTCTACAGCTTGGAGTTTCAAGTCCTGACTGAGAGGTGGGTTTTCAGCCCGGATTTGTTTAATGTTTAACCTTTAATGAATCAATTGTTTAAATTTGGCGAAATGATCCCAGCAACACGATCAAGTTTGAGCCATGCAACCATTTTTAGCTCCCTTTCACTCATGTAAATATTTTATATATTTAAATATTTTAAGCCGCTTAAATTCCTACAGACGAAATTAATGTATTTTGTAGGTTGTCTTCTACCTGTCGGGTTAGGTCCGGCTCATCCTTCTGTTGATGACGGAAGAAACCTTTACTCCCTGATGCAACCTGAATTTAAGAATTCATTAAACGCTTGTAACCTTAAACCCCCTGATTTTAATAAATAAATAACAAAAAAGTTTAGACCTGAATGATTCTAAGCTTTAAAGTTTTCTCTATCGCTTCTGTCTCCAGTTCCTCTGATTGCGCAGGTTCTTTCTCTACTCTAGCTCCAGGTGACTGCTTCAACTGAGTGTGTTCGGAAGGTTTGTGAGCTGGAGACTCAAACTCACCAAAAAGTGTGGTTTTATCAACATTGTCCATTCTTTCTGAAACATTAGATATATTATGAATATATATATGATTATTTTCAAATACAAGCACCAGGCTGAATGAAACGTAATAACACTAGAAATATTGTTAAAACGGTGTTAGTATAACAATTAGTAAACTAGGGATTAGCTTCTTGAATTTTGTTTAACAGATTCAGGATTTCAAACGCAATATTTTTAGTTTTTAAACTCTCGGCATAGAGCTCTTTAAATTTATTAACCAGTGGACTCGGTTCCCTTCCTTTCTTCGGAGTTTTCCCCATCAGGAGTTTATACAGAGAGAGAAGCGTTGCCTGAACCCGTTGGAGCAACGTGTTGGTGACATAGATCTCCTCCTCTATCTCATCCTCCAACTTCGTGGAGCTAGATTCAACCTTCTCTGAGCTGGGAACAGTCTGAGTATCCGTGTCTGAACCTGAACTCATTTGTTCCAAAGCCGGTCTTGTCTCCAGGAGGCAGGAAAGAATGAGAAAGAACTGTTTTTGTTTTGCTCCGGGGGAAGTTAGAGAGTCTAACTGAGCCTCAAGAAGCGCTCCCTTCTCCAGGACACATCTTAGATAGTAAACAAACCTCTCCTGCTGTAGGTAGAGCGGAGCAGCTTTACAATAGTGATTCTCCGACAACTGTTTGAGTTTCTTTTTCCTAAAGGACGTGTCTTCAATGTCAAAGCTCCGATAGGAATGATGGTACAGAGAGGCAAGTCTAAGATGAATCTCTGCAGCTCTTCTCCTGTACAAATCCTGACGGGAACTTACAGTATCAATGTCGCAGTACATCAGAGCCTTCAGGAAGAACTCTATTACTTGTTTCTCCGCATCCTCCCTCGAGAGAGAAGAGAGAGGAGCTTGGTCTTGGAACAAGGTTCCAACAGTGAAGAAAGTACAGCAAAGCTCGTAGGTAACAGAATCCCAAACAGAAGGATTCATTTTCCTGTTCCCTAGGGTTTTCAGTGCTTTTTGATACTCGGAGAGAGCTCTCTTATATTCATCCTTCTCGGCACTTCCAAACTCGTGCTTGTTCCGCTCTCTTGTCAAGCTCTTGATATGACCAGCAATCCTCCAGAGACGACCTGAGTTGGAGAGAAGTAATGCAATATTAGCGTTATCGTCAATCTTTTGGAAGAGTGCAATCCCCTGGTTCATAAACTCCCTTGATCTCTCTAACAGGGTCTCCGCAGCACGGAGAGTCGAGGCGGATACATCCGCGGTGTCTTCGTCTGATAAGTTCTTGACCAGGGCAGTTGCCTGGTTCATGAAGAACACCCCCTCCTCGTTGAGAACGTTTCCAAGCCTACGGTTGAGACTAACCATCTCTTCGTCTGGTAGTGATGGGAAACCTAGAGCACGACCATAGCACCGGGCAGACAAGGATAATCCCTATAATAGTACAGGTTTATTGCACTATTTGTAAATTTTTGTGTTTTAAGTACATGTGAATTTAATTATTACGAAAGCCTCCAGAGCTAAAAACTTAGAATTATTGATATCGAGTTCAATGCTTAATCTCCTCTGTCAATTAATCTGCAGATTATTTTAATTCAACAAATCAAATTTTGGTTTTGTAGAAACCAATCAGAAGACGGGGAATTTAGGCGTAACTAGTGAAAGAACTCTCATTGGTCAGAATCCAGTAGGGATATCCAAAAAGTGATGATTAAGCAGAAAATCAAAAGTGTCTACAGTGGATATCCAGTTTTAGCGATCAGTATTAAGGATATTCAACATAAAAGTTTTCAGCTCTGGAAATTCTTAACAAACCTCCTGGATATCTTTTGGTGGTTTAATGGTCCAGTCTCTGTCTATCTCGTCTGTGTACTTCTCAACCTCCTCCGCTATCCCTCCTTCTCCGGCCTCAGCGGAGTTATACTGCTCCAGGTACAGGGGAAGGTTACCCCACCTTGAAAAAAGATAAAATACAACAAAATTATTTTAACAAAAAATATTTATCCCTTCAATGGACCAATAATATCACAAACAAATAAAAAGTTTCGACAATAAATCTTTATTGGATCCTTCCTTAGTAAAAAGGCATTTTTTTGAATGGCTAAAATATTTAGAAAACTTACGCAGATATGAATGCAAGATAGCAGTCCCCTGCCACACCCAGAGCAAAGCTGATCATTCCTCCGCAGGTTTCTGCCTCTATCTCTCCTCCAATGGACTCAACCATCGAGAAACAATTTAAAGCTCTTTTGACACACTTTAAGCTTCGACCGAACTTCTTGAGATCAAAACTGATCTCAGCCAGTGTTATATAGACGAGCAGAGCCTTCTTTAGAAGCAGAAACTTGAGATAATCCGAGTTAGAAAGCTGACTGAAGGTTGGTTTCACGTCACAGGACTTCTCCCATTCCGAGATCTTATTCTGAACAATCCTAACATCGGATGAGATGTATCCCATCGGGATTGCTTGTCCCGGGACGGACATTTTTAAATTTTCACGTTCAACCCTTTCCCTCTCCTTCCTGAAGGCGCTAGAGCTGGCCTGTGTTCTCGCCTCCAGGCTCGTGATAAACTTCAATCCATGATCTATATGCAGCAGAGCTTCCGTACATCGGAACTCAATATCATCGGATATCGGTGGAGCGCATTTATCCTTGGATCTGAACCCGTACAATTTACTCGGGTAGCAGAGTGTGTGAATGTCAACAGAACTTTCAAAATCCTCGTCACTGTCAAACTGTTCGTCAGAATCCTCGTCAGGAACGGACGAATGTGGCGAAGTTTTCGGAAAATAAGGTTTGGCGGGATCCGTATCGGCAGGAACGTAAAGTTCCGAAAGAAGAAAATGCGCGGATGTGGCAATATGAGGATATTTACTGTGATCCAGCAGTTGAATACAGTTCTTTAAGAGTGCCTGGGCAACAGCGTCGTCCTCCCGTCGTCCCCTGGAGTCAACAATATTCCTGGCAAGCCTATAGAGAAGAAGAGAGACGGGTGTTTGAAACGGATTGTCAGGTTCCGTCTCCATCCCGCCACCTTCTCCGGTCATATCATCCTCAGTGTTCGACGGTTTGATCCCGCTGTCCTTCTGACTCAGCGATGTTAGATCGTAGAGCTTCACGATATCATCATTCTTCCCCTTGAACAACCAGTAGGTGTGCCCCTCCTTAGCAGCTTTAGATTTCAGGAAGGCAAGAACATTCTGGGCGATATTCTTTACTATCTTAGGGGAGAACTTAGATCCTTCCATGTAAGGAAGTTCTTCTGTCTTGATGAGTTCATATTTCTGAACTATTCCGTCAATGTGGTAGCACATTGCAACTTCAGGAACCTTTAAAATATCAACATTAATGAATAAAACGACACACAAAAAATAAAAGTTTCTGTTATCATCAGCTAAAACTACGCATTCAATTTTGCGTCATGCATTAATTCATCTTCATTATAATCTAATTGTTCCTAAAATTGTATTATTTTGTTTAAATTGTGTTCTCTTAATGTTCACCTGACACATGAGGTTATCCAGCCAGTAATCCATTCCGGTCAAAACATTTATAGGTTTCTTCATATCCCTTAACTTCAAACTAACACAAGGATGATCCTCGTCTCCGAATATTGGCATGTTGGACCCGATTAACATCCGGATATCCTCGAAGGTCCAGATAAAGTTCCTGGCAAACCCGTCCTCTTTGGCCTCGCCCAGGTGTGGGATAGTTTTCTCTATCTCCGGGTCCGGCAAAGGAGGAATATTTTTCAAAACGGAGTCGTTTATTAAAGCAGCACTTCCAAGACTTTCTAAATAAAGAAAAAATAATGAAATGCATAAAATAAGAGGTCTTAGCTTCATTTTAACCCATTCGTGACGGGACGGTCAATTTTGACCGGGTAAGGTTTTTAATTTTTAGCGCCTTCATTTTTAAACCAAATGTCGTCTCGTTTTATTCCAGATCCTTCCTACATATATGCCAAGTTTTGCAAATAGGTGACAGGTAGATAGGTTAAACCGGCTTCACTTGATTAGTAGAGAGATAAGGACCCGGTCAATGTGTCCGTCTCGGCATCGGTCAAAATTGACCGCCCGGTCAATTTTGTCCGAGCCGAGACGGACAAAATTGACCGTTTCCTGCCGGACAAAATTGGCCGGCCTCTGTATCTCCACAACCCTTTATTGAAAAAATTGAAACTTTAGATCTACTCTCATGGACACTATAATGAGTTAACCCTGTATTTTTCAGCAAGATCAGAAAAAAAAATTTTGTCTCGTCACTAATGGGTTAAGACTGACAAGGTCTCAAAACCCAAGCAACATTTTTAATTGAGCAAACCTTTGATTAAAACTGGTTAAATCATAACAATATAGGTAAGGACAATCCATGTGCAAGAAAATTTGGAAAAAAATGTTAAGAAAGACAATTTTGTCTCATTTCAACCAATATTTTCAAAGTAAAGTCCTTTCTTCATTGCATCATATCATGAAAGAGAATTGCGTGTGTGTGTGTGGGGAGGGGGAGGTTGTTACCTTTCAGTGCTTCAATACTGGCTTCTGCTTCCTCCTCCTCTGTATGCTGGAGACTCCTGTAGAGAAACTTTGATATCAGGTTCCGCTCCTGTAGTGCTGAGTTACTGCAGTTCTTCCTCACCACAGCTCCGTCCTTGTCCTCGATCTGATGAAGGATCGTCTGAGCAAAATATTTCCTCAACCAATCCCACTCCGTGGCAGACCGCTTCAGCAAATATTGGTGAATGTCAAAATCGTCGATAAGCAGACTCTTGCCGACCCTGTGGACGATCATACTGATGCTGTTGTTACTGTAGGGAAGCTTGAGCAACTTCTTGATGTTCTCACTGTCAGAGATCACGTCGACGTCTGGCATGCAGTCCACGAAGTCGTTTGCGAGCTTGAAGGAAGAGAACCCGGTCTGGAGGTGGCTAGATGGAACAAACCCCTTGGTCTGAGTTCCTTTTCTCAACCAATTCTTCGGAGCTTTTCTAAATTTACATTAGTTTGAGTAAAATATATTCAAATCTGAAAACAGGCAATAATTTAATTTAGTTTAATAGTTTAGTTTAATAGTTTAGTTTAATAGTTTAGTTTAATAGTTTAGTTTAATAGTTAAGTTTAATAGTTTAGTTTAATAGTTTAGTTTTTCATTGAAACTAATTTAATAAGAGTTTACAGTCAGCGACAAAAAAATGAACTGTATCTTTCACTACTTCGGAGGCCAGATTTAATGAGTAGTGAAGTTAAATTAAACCACTTCTCATCAACTTAACCTGACAAAAGAGAAGTGGACGAAGTATGTCTCCAAGGCTCAACTACTTAAAAATTTTCATTAAATATGGTTCTAGATAAAAAAAAATCCCAATCTGCAATACATATTTTACGCAATTACATTTTATTAGGAAGCTTTAATGTTTGATAGTAAGTTCTAGAAATGATATTAAATACCTTAGATCCGTATTCTCCGCAACCATGTTGAGAGGGACGGGTAGTCCCATCTCCGCGTACCTCACCACCGCCTTGCTGTTCACCCTGGTTGGGCTCAAGCAGTTCATCTGCTCAACCTCCTGGAGAGAACACTGTTCAGGTTCGGATAAGTTCATCTCCGGGTAGGGTTCGGTAGGGGAGGAGCTCCTAACCTTGGTTGCATCTGAAGTTGAGGGAAGATAAGGCATAGGTATTGCATAACTTAACCTAAAAATGATATATTATAGAAGGATTTTTCTTCAGTTTTAAGAACAGGTAAATCAGAGCTGAAAACTTTAAAATAGTGGATATCGAAATCAATGCTTGATCTCCTCTTCTTCTTAATCTCCAGATTAAATAATGCTTGTTCTCCTCTTGTTATTAATCTCCAGATTAATTAAGAATATCACATTCTAAAGTTTTCAACTCAGGTTCATTAATGGCACTGTATTGGCTATCTAGAATTTTGAAAAAGCTTTAAAAAATTCTAATGTTATGGCAGAATTATGAACTGCTTGAGGAGGGAGGGAAGCATGAATATAATGTGACTATTTTTGAGAAATTCTTCTCATGTTCTTATCTCCAAATCCACAAGATAGAAGATTTCTATAATCCACTAGTTTAATTTAATCATTGACGAGAAAGACAATATTTACTCCGCTACAGTACTAACCTATTGGTTTTGTATATCTCATGACTTTCAGAATCTCCCATTCTCTGTAAACTAATAAACGATCATCTGAAACAAAACCTATGCAATCAAGCAACAAGTAGCAGGTGTTGTGCAAAACATATGATAACAAACAACATAAGAAGGATTTGACATCAAACATAAACGTAGTGTTGATAACACTGTAAATATCACAGAAACAAGTTTTACAAAGAATAAAATATGTGAACTTTCCTCATAACCTTTTAAGTTTTAGTATATTGGTGGTTACATAAACTGAGATCAGAACTCTTGAGCGGAGAATCGTTAATCCGTAGGTTTGCATAAGATAGAGATCATTCCAATTGATCCCGAAATTCACAACACAATAATTCTGACTTCTAAACTAAAAAAATGTTCTGATTTTTTGTTTTGTGTTACATTTAAGTACTTATATGTACTAATGTCTTACAAAAAACTTCCGGAGAAGAATTCAAGATTTCTATACTTTAGATATAATTAAATATGTTGAAAAGATTAGAAGAGGTCATAAAAGTAGTCAAGCCCCTGTCCAATCTCCCAGATAGATATTCCTACTCCTAGCTCCTCAGCCAGCTCAATCCGAACCTGAATATTATATCATTATATTAATGAACGTATCAGACTAAAGAAACTACACTAGGAAACCACAACTTAGTGCTCTAATAACCTTTGAAGTGAGCGTGCATAAATAGGACCGATTCGTTAAGAAACCCTTATCATTTCGTAATATTTATAAATTTATTTAAAACAAATTTTCTGTTCATTATCATTCCCCTTTCCTGCCTTTAAGTGTATATTTTTCACATACTCCCCCCTCCCACGACCCACACACACACACAAATAAATGTTTAGCCTCTGGATTCTTTGACGCATCAGATTTGTCAGTTCCTACTTCCTTGTCAATATTTGCGTACTTCTTGAATAAGAGTATCTTGAATAAGAGTAACTTTGTAAAATGAATAATATGTGTTGTCTTTACAGAAACTACATCCCTTTATTATGATGTGATCAAAGATTGTCAACAAAATGTTTTGCTGAAAAAAAAACTTTTTAATAAAATTCCAAAAACGTATTTAATTTAAATCTTTACCTGAATGGAGTGCAAGGTTGGATAGAAAATCCTATGTTTGTAGTGATCAAGTTTAAACTCTGCAAAATGTTCCTCAGTATCTGGATCTAATTGAAACTTCAGAGATGGAACCTTCTCAAGGTACTAAAATACATACACGGTAAGATTATTTAGATAAGATTAGTCATGTTTTGATATACCTGAACTAGATCTCGTCCTAGCACGTGCCCACCACCCTGAGAAGTGTAATCGAACCCGTACATGTTCAGTCCCATGAGGATCTTACTCCGATGGGTTCCGGCAGGATCCAATAGATCAACACACCTGGAGAATCAAGATGTTATTAAAAACCAGGAAACACAACTCTGCTCATCAAAACTATAACTATATGTTATTCACTATAACCCATACAGACCAGGGTAAGTTAACTTTAACAAAAACTTAACCTTTTATGCTTTTTTAAACGTACTTTCTTATCCACGCAACAGGACTATTGGGTCCTGGACGGGACGGATTGCTGTAGTCGTAAGTCATCAAGGAGAAGTAGTCCACGTTCTCCACAAGGTTAGAGAAATCTTCACCCAAAAACATTCCAACCTGATCGCCCTGAATCAGAATGAATTAGAACGTGTCCAGTCGGTCAAGATACCTGGAGACCAATTGATGTGCTTTGGGTCATTTTAAGTCCAGGAAGAATGGATCTCCTCAAATATGCAGATATGAAGGTGGATTTGATGAAGGTTATATGGAGGCATGAGTTTGCTCAAGATTGTCTAAATATACAAGAGACGTATTGGAAAGAATAAATATTTTCTTGAAAGTCTATAAAATCGCCTTGGGTTACGTAATGTTCAGTTGGGCGTTCCTAGCGTAGTTCCTTTGGCTATGTAATGTTCAGTTGGGCGTTCCTAGTGTAGTTCCTCGGGTTACGTGATGTTCAGTTGGGCGTTCCTAGTGTAGTTCCTTGGGCTACGTAATGTTCAGTTGAGAGTTCCTAGAGTAGTTCCTCGGATTACGTGATGTTCGGTTGGGTGTTCCTAGTGTAGTTTCTTGGGCTACGTAATGTTCAGTTGAGAGTTCCTAGAGTAGTTCCTCGGATTACGTAATGTTCAGTTGGGGGTTCCTAGTGTAGTTCCTTGGGCTACGTAATGTTCAGTTGGGCGTTCCTAGTGTAGTTCCATGGGTTACGTGATGTTCAGTTGGGCGTTCCTAGTGTAGTTCCTTGGGTTACATAATGTTCAATTGTTCATGACGAATGATGAATTTGCTCAGGGTTACCTGATAAACAGGAGGAGGTATCGCTAGGATGAAAATAAGTCCTTTGGACTTAAAAGCTGCGCCTAACTCATTGACAAGGGAACCCATCTGAGGCCTAAAACATTTAAAATAAAAATTTCAACTTTTTGTTGGATTAAGGGACTGTTTTATTAATTTAAATAGACCATTCAATTAAAAAAAAAAGAAAAAAAAAGAGACATGCCCGAATACCAACGTCACTCTATGGAGAAACCGCAATTGAAAATAATCTAATTTCAAGAAGAATCCTAAGCATTCTTGATCAGACAAACTTTTAATGGTATCTCTGTAAATCGGACATGCCATCTTATAAAAGGAGATTCCATTTAATGGAGAACTTGATTATTTTACCTTCCTTTCCCTCCAAGCTGGGACCAGAACTCAAGCGTGAGTCCGTCCAGGTTGAATTGGTTCACTGTATTGAAGAGAAGCTCCCTCAATGCAACCTGCTTCTCCTTGTCCTGGAACAGGTTTACATAGTTCTGCCCGGTCCATCTAAACAAACAATTTTAAAGAAAACATTTGTGTCCCTGTCTTTTATTGCGACTTCAAACGTTATTTGAGAAGGCCCTCCATGCAAAGATGACAATGCCCGATTCACAAATGTACCCTTGAAACCTTTATCTCATCAATAATGTATGTTCTCCTGTAGTACTACTGCGCATTACGCGCTGCACTTTAGTAGAAAAAACACCATTTTAAAATAATAATTTTTAAAAATTAAAAACATTGATATCTAATTCATACACAATACAAAGCTTTTTAGGTACCGTTGTGAATCGTGCATTGTCATCTTTGCTTGGAGGGTTACAGTCCCGATAGGTTGAAACTAGGTAAAACATTTTGAGGCTGCAACCTGTCAAAGAGAAGACGTGGTACGATCTTGGCTCCGTGTTTCCGAACATCTTTAATCCATCCTTGATCCAGGTCGTGTACTCCACCAATCAGGAAATCATCGTTATCATTAACTGTAACCTTCAATACACATTAGTTCATCTTCTTGGAAAAACTAAAAAATTCCACAAGAGTTTATCTTGTGTCAGATAATTGACCATAAACTAACCTGGAGCCAAACTGGTGAAATGAGAGAGAACTTCCCCCCGAATATTTTGGCCACATCGTAACCATGATTGTTCCAGGGGGTGACGTAGCCAAGAACAGTTCCATCAAACCTTTTCTATACAAAACAAATTCAACCTACATTCAAAAGTTATAACTCGATTAATTCAATAAAGCAGTGCTTAGATCAACAGCATTTTGACTCCTTGGATCCGGATCCGAAACAATTTACAGATCAACATATCTGAATTCAAGGAGCAAAATATCATCCAAAATATATTATTTTTAAAATTGAGATATTATTTGTTCTCTCATTGGCCAACCAAGTATCAGCAACAACAAGAGAAAGAAAACTATAGAGGAAAATATATCGGAAATTCTATTTTGTAGTAGAAATTATTTAAACTGGGAAATATTATTAATTCTATGAATTTGGATCCATCTTATTTTGGCTCCGCATCCAAATGTAAAACTTGAAAATTAAAACTTGAAGTTTGATGTTTTACGATAAAAAAACTCTAATTCGGAACCTGATGCGTATCCTTGAAGTACGCAGCCTGGTGTTCCAGAACATCCCTTCCCTTCACTTCCTTGTTGACCAGGTTCTTGGTGAACACGGAGTCGGAGCAAGGTCCAGGCGGAGCAACTTCTCCAGTTCTCTTACTAACCTTCTCCTGAAAGAATTTCCATCTTAATTTAACAACCAGAGGTATACTTTTCAAGAACTACCCTCACATTGTCGCCGGGGGGGGGGGGGGAGAGAGAAAGAGATTTCGGATGCTGTAAGGGAAAAAATGAAAAATTGGGCGTCAACCTGCAAGTTTTTCCACTCTTTTAAATACTTTTTACATCCCAAAAAATCTTGGTAAATCTAAACTGTCAATAAATTTAAATAATTAATTCCATGCAAACATTTACTTTCCGACAAACCGTGTTTAACAAATTGAGTCTAAAATTATTTACACGACATCTTCGCCATCGGCACACATAGTCGTTTATTATTATTATTATTGAAGGACAACCCATCATTCAATGAAATAGAGGTCGGCGCTCCTAGTCGCCGAAACGTATCCATGGGCTGACCGAAAAAATGAAAAATTGGGCGTCAACCTGCAAGTTTTTCCACTCTTTTAAATACTTTTTACATCCCAAAAAAATCTTGGTAAATCTTAAATTGTCAATAAATTTTAATAATTTATTCCCTGCAAACATTTGCTCTCCGACAAACCGTGTTTAACATATTAAGTCTAAAATTATTTACACGACATCTTCACCATTGGCACATTTAGCCGTTTAGAATGTTTCCAGAGAAGGGTATGTAATGATGAACAAAATTAGATATTGAGTTAGTTAACAATGTTTTCAATACAGTTCTAAATTACATTGTTTACTCTGAACTTCGGACATAGCTTGCATTATATATTATACAAGATTCTGAAAAAATCAATGGATCCTTGGGAAAGATTTTTGCTTTTTGCATTACGAAAGGAACTGATTCTTGGTTTTTCAAACCCTGATTCTATGCAACCTGATGAAGTTTTCATTTTTAATTTAATTTGGGCCACTTGATCTCACAAAATTAGAATTTTGAACCCGACATTGGGCTAGAAATATAGATAACACCAGTTCCATATGCTTTTGAAGGTTTTACTTAATTTTTAAGAACCCTTGGTTCATCTTTATTATCTTTATTATCATTATTAACAATCAACATACAGACATATATATATATACTTTGCCGTCTCTCTGTCCGTTTGTATCATGAACGTCAAAACGGCTCAACCTATGGGCCAAAATGTTGTGTGTGACCTCACATGACGAAAGTATAGGAATGTTCAGAATTATGAAATTTTTAAAAACCAAGAAAACAAAATTGTAAATCCTTCGAAAAAAATTATAGTTATATCGTCGAGTAAATGCTAAAAGATTGAGCAACAATTAATTTTTGAAATTCTTCGCACCCTGCGCTGGGAACTTTGAATGGTGGATATTAGGATTAATGCTTAATCGACTCTTTTTATTCTTGAGATTAGATTACGCTTGTTCTCCTATTGTTATCAATCTCCAGATGAATTAAGCAGTCAGGATTAAGGATATCTCATTCTAAAGTTTCCAGCTCTGATAGCCTAGTACCTTTGATTTTTTATCATGTTTAGACAGAGTTCCTAGATTTGTATTTAAACAGAGAATCAGTATATATCCCTGCAGTACACCGCTCCATTGCATCTGAAAATCAAATAAAAAATATTTATCTTTTACATTATTATAAAAAATACAGATATTATAATGATAAGATATAATTTTGTATACATTTTAACATTTGTATAAAAAATAGAAATAATATCAATTTCCTCAAAAGTCTGGCCATAATCCAATTTCAATTTCAATTTCAAATCATATTTGACATTTTTCAAGACAAGCAAGTATGAAATGTTAAATCTAATTCGACTCATATGAAGGTAAGCTGGTCTACAAATATGTCAATCTTGTATAGTCGCAAAACTTCTGGGGTTCAGATGAAATGTTTTCAAACCATGAAGAAAACTTGTCTGAATCTGGAATATTGAGAATATCAAGATCGTTAAAATATTGAATATTTTTGCATCCTTCATGTACACTCTTCATCACTCCCCCGTAATGACTGTGGAAAAGACAATGACATGTATAGGATCCGCCAAGGGATGACTTCTTCAGGTTGGGCAGATCAAACTTGAACTCTGTGCACACCTTAAATGCTGAAATAGACAGTTCTTCGATAGAGTTGCTCGACACCTCCAGTAAGTCATCGTTAAGTGTAAACTTTACGAGACGTAGGATCTTGATTTGAGTGAACGGTAACAAGGCTTTTAGAAAATCCGTTTTCGAATGGTATCGCTGTTCGCAGTATGGCAAGAATGATGATCCCCGCAAGATCAGTTCGTTCAAATTCACAAACCGTTTCAGGGGTTCTGTTACAACCTTACAGAAGATTTTGTCCACAAGTATTTCTAACTTCTGTAGAGAAGAGGTAGGAAGAGAAAACAAAATACTGACAAGGGTTTGCTTGTATTCAGGTTTCAATACAGTCAATTCAATAAAGTCATCATATAGAAAGTTAGCACCAGTCATTTTCAATTCCTTGAGATTATTCAAGTTAAGGATTGAAAAGTAGGCAATTGGTTTATTTAGTTGTTTCAGGTCATATGTGCTGGTCAGCTTCAGAACAGGTTTCTTGTGTTTCAGAACAGAATGGGGGTAGGGGACCATAACATGGAGAATATATCGCGACTTGAAGGTTCTCTCCAGCATCCTGCAGGTACGGATGAGGTTGTATATGTCGTTCACGGTGATCATTTCGAGAATAAGTTCCAGTATTTCTGGGGGTAGGCTGAGAAGTGGCGAGTTCTGAGATACAGCAACTCCAGGGAGAATTGTAGTCTCACAGGACTGTTCAATGATATCTGAATCCTCGTCTGGCCGAACAACCTTGCTGTTATGAAACATGAACAATTCAGATGAAATCTGAACTCCCAACTCCTCCACCCGAACTAGTCTTCCTCCATTTCTTATCCACTTGGGCATGAAGACATTGTGCTGTGGGTTCATGTCTAACGCTAATAAAAAAATGTGTATTAATTTAAAAACCAACTGATCCAAAAAATTGTTCTTAAAATCACGAGCATCTATATTTGTTTTCATATTAAAATAGAGGTTTAAACATGTATCAAACAGTATCGTGGTAGACTAAATTTCTTCATGATTTGGGGGGTACTTCTAAATAAAGGCAAAATGAGGAAAATGATATATAGATGTAACCCATAATAAGTGCTTGAAAGTTGCATTTGTAGGAAAAGCTTTCAAAGCAAATGTTTTAACAGTTGATCAAGGTTGGATTAGTGAATCAAGAGGTGATCAACTTTAAATTATAGATTTATCATTTTAGAATATAACATAAATTATATTGATTGCAGTATACAAGTATAAAATATATGCAAGTTTAACTATTTAATATCACAGGTAGCATAAGAATTAACTAAGGTTGAAGGCTCATAAAAATGTGATCCTAATTTGAGTTTAAATTCAATTTGTTTTGTTTGACCACAGTATATTACTGAAAATACTAAAAAGTTAAATCAAAATGGTAAAAAAATGTGTAAAAAACTAAATATCTAAAAAAAATTATTTTTTAACATAACACTGGATTTAAGGTGAAGAAGTAACAAAATCTGCTGCACATCTAAACCCTAGATTGTGCGCACTCGAGTCCGGAGTATTCTGAGATCTAGCATCACAACGGTATCTGTAACAATAACTTTCATGGCACATAAAACTTCCTCCTTTCTTCACTTTATCAGTCCCAGCTCGAGGACCGGTCGGGTTGACTGCAGCCTCTGCGCTGTGCTGGGTCTCCCACCAGTCTGACGTCCACTCCCACACATTCCCGATCATGTTCTTTAATCCGTTCTCCATCACTGGAAAGGACTCCACCGGCGAGGTTCCGGCAAATCCGTCCTCGCCGGTATCCTCGACCGGAAACTCGCCGGTCCAGGTATTGGCGTAAAACTGATCCTTTGGCCTCCACTTGTTTCCCCAAGGGAAGAGACGGGTTTTCTTTCCGTTCTTGCAACCCATCTCCCATTCAGCCTCTGTAGGCAGACGCTTACCTAAATTAAATTTGTTATTTGGGTGAAATTATTGACGAGTTTGAGTTTCAATGAATAGAAATGGCTCCATAAAAAACATACCGGCCCATGCGCAGTACTGCACAGCATCATTCCAAGATACATGGATGACAGGATGATTTCCTCTGGTAGAGATATCGGATCCTGCCCCCTCAGGATGTCTCCAGTTAGCTCCATCTACCGGTAACCACCAGGGAGCTCCAGCCACCGCCTGACTTATCCCAGCCTTCACCTCTTCACTCAAATAGAAATCCGCGACGAATGAGTTCCCAAAAGTCTCAGCTTCAGTGACGTACTTCGTATCTTTAACAAAATCCGCGAAATTATTATTGGAAACTTCTAGAATGTCCAGGTAGTAAGAATCCAGACGAACTGTCCGACCCGGCATTTCTCCGTCGGCAGGGAAAACCTATGTAAATAAAAATGAAGAAAACGAAAATATGCTTAGCATAACAGTTTAAAATGAGACTTATGTTGGGATACCTACCGGCTGATCTGTTCCCATTGTAAAAGTGTTGGATTTGATCAAGACCATGTTGCTAAGGTCCGGAGAACCATTCTTTCGAACCCTTTCTCCAGAAACCTTGAGAGGCTCAGGTTTATCTCCGCTGTGCTCTCTGCTCTTGGAGCATCCACAACTTTCATCTTTCCCACTAAACAGTTTTTTTATGAATTAATGCACAACATTAGTTACTAATTACTATTATATTATATTTGTGAGGTTCCATGAGCCAAGAAGTAATATTTTTTTAATTCGTTTCAAATAAGACTATATCAAGTTGGAACAATAGACATCATGAAGGGTTACAAATAAGTTTTTATATTTCACTTATGCTCTTGTCCTGACCATTACTTTTTTATTTTTCTAATGTTACCAAGGTAAAATGTTAAAATACTTTTTATAAGTAAAAATTGGTTCATTATTTGTAAATAATTTTGATCTATGTTGGAAAGGTCAATATAAGGAGCGTGTAGGAATGAATTTTCTTCAACTAGTGTAATAATTTCCATTCTTTCACGCTCTGACCGTTTCATTGGGAAATTTGCGCCCAAAGTCCATAAGACCAGGCATAACCTTCAGTTCTGTGACCCTTTCTTTTGTGGTACTCAACAGCAAGGAATTATTACTTTCCTGCGTTGTAAACTGAGGTCTTGCCATTATTTAACAATAACTGCATTTTTAAGATTTTCAGACCCTAATAAAATTCCGTATGTTTAAAATTCAAAAAAAATAATATATGAACTCAACCAAGCCAAAATGACAAACTTCAAACGGTCAATACTTCCCTTATTTTAGTGTGCCTACCTCTCATTGATATCAATAAAAAATGCACAAATTAAAAATTGAACCATGGTGAGTGCTACAATGTCTTTAAGATAGTTTTTTTTTGTGACACCCTGTACTTAAACAACTTTAAAGCTTTCTTCCACAATTTACATGATATAAGTCCCGGATTATTGTTCTCCAGATTAACAATAGTACCTGGAGATAGGTTCAGCTGGACATGATTCACCCTGGAAAAGAACACAAGGAACACAAACCGTCAAGAGTAATAAAACTAGTTTCACCATCTTGGCATTTTCTGAAACAATGTCAAATGAAATGCTGAGGAAATTATAAATAAGGAAATTAACTCTCAAAAATATTTTCTATTACAATTGCAAAAACAAATACAAAAAACAAATAGGAAATACTGGAATTTTTAATATTTGTGAGAGTTGTTTAATTGTGGTACATTCTTCTTAGTTGGGTACGTACATATCTTCCTTCCAACCCTGGAGTCAGGTATGAATGTAGTACCCTAAAACAGAAAAATAATTAGATCTTATGTGGGTTAGATTACCAAAATGACGCGTGCTTTGACATGACAAATGAAAAGAAAAATAGATCATAATTACCAAAATAAACGTTTTATAATTTTAGAAAAAGAATAAGCTTGCACGTGCCAATGCACCAAATTAAATCAAGTTTGTATGCCCTGTATCTACATATAGATAAAGTTAAATCTGCTCAGAGATTGTGGCATGCTGGAGATGATGGGCCCGTATCCCGCGGAGTTATCGTACAACTCAAACAACGGCGCGGCAACGAGCTTGTAGTTACGCGGCACTGCGAAGTACGCTTTCTCCTTCAACTGTACAAGGAACAACTTTCTGTGCTCCTTAGGTTTAGTGATGTGAGGAGGTATATACGGGTACTGAGCAGGTTCAAAATTTGGTCTCCACCAGTTCCCAATAGTATCCTCTACAACCCAGTCTGAGGTTCCACTGTCAGCCCGACCCAGAGTTTCTGTCATCAACCTTTTCAAACCCTCACACTAAAAAATGTAAGAACTATTGTAATTCTCTTTCATGAGGATTTACTTGCTCCCTTCCCTTAAATCATAAAGTGAGTTAATAAATGAAGACCATGGTTAGACTTCATGAATAATACTTGTTAGAAATAATAGTAAATTTGAAAACTTGTTGGTTTTTGATAAAAAGATTTCCCTAGATGAGATGAGATAAGGATCTGAAAACATCTTAGAGATGATGCCTAGACCCCCCCCCTCTTATCTCCGGATTGCAAATTATGTTTATAAAGTGAATATAAATGTTTTGATTTACCTCATCCTCTCCTGGATTAAGTTCTCCCCCAGGGAGCTTGAAGAACGTAGTTCCCAGCTGTAGAAGGAGTACATGAGGTAAACCATGCTCATGTACCAGGAGTACACCGTCAACTGATCTTCTCATACCAAGCTGTAAATAAAGTTTTCAAATAATAATATAAAACAAGCATACCTATTTCACTCAAGCATTAACCAGTCAAAATTATTCCAACAAACTTAAAATATTTAAGGAAATACGCTATGAAGCATACAAAAAAGGAAATAAATAAAGAAGAAACCCAAATAATCATATGATGTACAAAAGAAATTTTTTTTTAGAAGAAACCACCCCTATCCAAGTTAAAACCAACAAACCGGCCCCAAAAAAAATAACAACCAACTAACCCCCTTTAACTAACAACCAACAACACCCATTCAACTAACCAGTGTTTCGGATCCATATCATTTTGATTTGGATCCGGATCCGGATCCGGATCCGCGGATCCGCATCCGTGTTCATGGATCCGGATCCGGCTCTTGATACGGATCCGGATCCGACCAAATGATACGGATAAAATAAATCAAATATTTATTTTAATAAAAGTAAGATTTTCTACCTTTTCATATTCGTCCCTCATTCTCTGAAACCTGGCGGGAACACTGGGATCCTTCTCAAACAGAGGATCCTTGGTCCCGAAGGTGTAGTTAGTGAGCGGATACAGGTTCACAGTCCGGCTCAGGGTCAAGGACGGATTCTTAGGAGTAGTCTGGGTAACCATAGGTTGGGTAGATCCACGTGGCCATCCTGTTCCAGCCATTTTATTTATCCAAAATCTGAAAATGTAAAAATTTAAATTTGGTTTAGTAACACCTTGGCAACGGAAAGTCTGAGGTCTGCAATGTGCTCCGCCCCCAACCGACAACAGCCGCCTAGTCCAACCACGCCTTTTTTCAACCAATCCCCCACATAATCACTCCAATCAATCCCACCTTCTCCCTTCCAGCACCTTGCAATCCCATCCCAGTCCTCTCCGCTATTAGGGTATACAACAATAGGAATAGTTTTCGCAACCTTCCGGATATTATCAATCCCACCAGAAACTAACTTCGGGTGAAGACAATTGAACCCAACAGCGAAAATTCTTCCTTTGTCGAAAAGTTCATGTTTTCTTAATTGTCTCATTGCGTCCTGAATAGTTTCTCCAGTAGGTAAATTGTTCTCATTTTTGAGCGTAAATGAAACCCAGACTGGAGTAGTTCCTCCGGTAGCAGATATACAATCTAGGATAGCGATGGCTTCTCTCCAACTAGGAAGGGTTTCCGCAGCAATAAAATCAACTCTAGATGAGATGAGAGTTTGTATTCGGGGTAAATGCCATTTAACAAGTTCCTCTCGGGATAAAGCGTCCAGATAGGCTCCCGTGTACTCACTTCCGTCGGATTGACAAGCTCCATATGGACCGACGGATCCTCCAATTAAAATTGCGCGTTTTTCGCATTTTTTAATTGCAGATTTTGCCAACTGAACAGAAGTTCGAACTGCCTCAACCGTAGCTTTAGAATTCATGTTCAAGTGTTGTTTAAATCCTTGTTCACTGATTTGATAACTGCAGGTAAGGATCACGTTAGCTCCGGCATTGATGAAGTCCATGTGCACCTGTTCCACTAAATCAGGATTGGTTACAATACTACGAGCTGTCCAGAGAGGATCATTGTCCAACCCCTCCATATACACCATGAGCTGAGTTGAGAATCCTCCATCAATTATCCATAAGTCCCCCTTCACCAGAGGAGACGAGTAGTTCAAATTGTCCATAGTAATAAATGCTGAAAATATTAAATTTTAGAACAGAAATAAAGATATGATTTGACTAGACAAAATACGCGGCTAGTTGGGACATTTTATCTTTTGGAGCTTTCCTTCCACGTCCTCTTCCTCCTCTACCCCGACCCCGTCCTCCCCGACCTCCTCCACCTCGTCGGGCTTTCAAGAGGACAGCATGAGACTTCTCAACCAGGGCATTCAACTCCGGGTTACAGTAGATACATCCTTCAGCAGAGAGCCTCTCTCCTGGGAGTTTAGTTTTTCCTTCCTTGTATTCAACCTGGAATATTTAGATTCCGTTAGTTCAAGCTTTTTGTTTGCTCTTTGTCTTTTTTTGTTAGTTCTATACCTTTGATTTTTTAATGTATTTAAATTTGACTTGGATATGTGTCGACTTGGACCCTTATCTTAACTTTTTCCTGAGTAATACTTTGCTACTTAGCTACTTTGCTACTTTGATGTTGACTCTATCGTCGAGTCACGGACATAAATATTTGAATGGCCCAGAAAATCTTTCTTTTTATGTGATATTTGATAATAAAAAATCTTTCTAAATGTTGAAACTTAACTTATTTTGTCGACATTTTACTTCTACTTTGATCTTATCCAATCCCCGAACTACGGGACTGTAATCGTTATTTTAAGCGACTCTCCATTTAAAGATAGCAATCTCTGTTTACAACGGTATCCTTGAAACATTAATCTGATTAAACTGTGAAAGATAACGTCGTTCTTCTGACTCAAAAGTGTTTATTTGTAGGGGTTTGCCACGGTTTTTAATGAGCAAATTAATGCTCAGTCACTTTAGCAGAGAAATCACAAATGTTTAGATAAACAAAAACATGCATATTTAATTCATACTTGATTAGACAAAGCTTTAATGATACCGTTGTAAATCGTGCTTTGTTATCTTTACTTGTAGGGTCACTTGAATTACGCTTACAGTCGCTTTAATATATTATCATTTACCTTAAGTAGCTGTGCTTCACAGTCTGGACAGGACTCTGCTGCATTGACCGTTATCTTAGCTGCGTCATCAAATATTCTAACAATGACGTCACACTTGTTACAAACAAGCTTCCACTTTGGTATACTCGCTGGATCCAGGACTAGGATACCTTGATCACACTCAACACAACCACTCACACCCAACCTGTTCAACCCATGAGAGCAGGTCGGATGAATACAAGCAGAGCAGGGAGAACCTTTACCCATATCAGGGAAGGGAGGGTTGCTGTAACAGTAGGGACAGAAGACAAAGGACTTCCCCTGGGCCCCTGCTGTAAAATATATCAGTTCGAAATCGTCCAGTGGACATTTAAGTTCCTGATGCAGTTTCAGATTTCCGTTCTGCTGGGGTACATTATAGGTTTCATCACAGGTTGAACAGAAGAGACGCTTAGGTTTAGCTTCAACCAGCTTCATATACCGCCTACATTTCCCGCACCTGGAGAAGGGACGACCACTGTCTGCCAGGGAGGAGAAGGAAACCTCAAACAGTTGATCCATCCCCTCCACGTTCTTCACGAAGTACAGGAACTTCATCTTGAATACCTCGAGGGTGTGGCGGAGTACGGATTGGAAATCAGCTTTTCCGTGCGCAATCAAATCCAGCTGTTTCTCGACTGCAGAGCGCATTGTTGGACGAACTAGGTCGGGATCTATCTTGAGATATCCATGCACGAGAACAATACCAAGGTTAGTAGGTTCTAGTCGTCTACCAGATTCAATCTTAACGTAATTCCTAAAGCAATTATAAATAAAAAATAATAGTTTTCCCTTCTTTTTTTTTCACGAATAATCCTTATATCCTCTTAAGATACACTTCTATCTTATTTTGAATGTTTAATACTTTTAAAACAAAATATAAAGACTACTTCGAAATAGTTTTACAAATCATTCCGCATTAATGATTACATTTAATAGTGATAGATTCGGTTTATAAGCGATATTATAAATGTACTGTGTACCTAGTACATATAATATAAAAATATTGTTTATATATTGTTATATATTGTTATTATTTTTATCATTATTATCATTGTCAAAGTATCATGTCCTGTTGACTATGTTACGTTAAGGTCCAGTGTTGAGCTACCTAATGAATATATTATTTATGTTTATGATATTAACTATGTTTTCAGGTTGCTTGTTGCTCTTTTTCCTAATAACAATTTTAGCGTTGAACTCTTCAAGTCCCCATTTTTAATCGTGCTGTAACTTTCGCGGATTTTTTTGTTTTAATTGGTTCATTATCAAAAAAATTGACTCAAGTTTGGGCTAGATCGTTTTAACGTTTTTACGTTTATGAAATACAAACAAACAGACAAGCAAAGTTTATATGTAGATAGATGTATCGTGTATCTAGTTCATATATTATTGATGTGTACTAGAATACTATAAATGTACTGTGTACCTAGTGCATATATTATTGATGTGTACTGGAATACTATAAATGTACTGTGTACCTAGTGCATATATTATTGATGTGTACTGCAATACTATAAATGTACTGTGTACCTAGTGCATATATTATTGATGTGTACTGGAATACTATAAATGTACTGTGTACCTAGTGCATATACTATTGATGTGTACTGGAATACTATAAATGTACTGTGTACCTAGTGCATATATTATTGATGTGTACTGGAATACTATAAATGTACTGTGTACCTAGTGCATATATTATTGATGTGTACTGGAATACTAGCATCTGTTCCTATCCCGTGTTTCTCCATCAGTGTGATCAGATCAGACTCCGTTAGATAACCTGGAAAATTAAAGGGAATTAAATATATATTTTGTTGAAAACCAACACACCCCGTCCTTTTAATACCATATGTTCCGAGTTTAGGAAAATAGATGATTTTAGGCGGAATATAAATAAATTCATGGTATTGAGAAAAAAGAAGTTAGATTTTTTTAAATGCAAAAAAGCAGGATAGATTTTAAAACTAAAAAAGTTTTTTTCCGGAAACAATTATAAAGAACAAGTCACGATTTTAGCTGTTAAACGTTGCTCTTCTTCAAGTTGACATTTTTTTTGTAAATCGTATTTTGCAGAATTTTCTGTTCAATTTGTACATTTATTCAAAAACAATAAATGTCGATATTTTTTCCCAGGGCCAAATTTTTCCTCTTTCACTATTTATAAACCTTCCCGGAGTCATCTAAGTAGCCACAAAAAAATCGCCTAACGTTTAATATATACAAACAAACAAATATGCAAAATACATATAGATAGAAGAGAATTATGAATGGCTTACCGGGCGGAGCTGTTTGTCTGTCGGATAGTTTTGCTTCTTTTATTGTTAAACTATCACCTTTCTTCACCTAAACAGAAGCTGTAATAATATTGTTATACCGTCACATATATACGTTTTGGAATAATTTTGACACAGTTTTATGCCAATTTCTCGAGACAGTAACATTAGATAGATGTCTTATAGGTATCGTTTAACTCTTGAGATTCTCAGGTTTCAGCTTAATTTTTCCTTTACAGTCCCTTTAATTAAAAATATAAACATCAACTCTGTGACAGTTAATTCTTGAAAACAAGATTATGGTTATTGTTTAAAAAAATGTTTTTATGAAATATATTTGTTAATACTTTGTCCTTTACATCCGTAATCGGATCCTTGGAGCTAAAATGTTGCGGCTCCGGCTCCTGATCCTACGAACTGAACTTTTATTGCAAAGTTCTACCTGTGGCAAACTCTCTTCCGGAGGAATAGCTTGCCAGGTCATTACTCCGGTAAACCCTGGATCTGTAACTCTCTTACCGGAGAAACTAAACTCCTCCTCACCTATCCGAACATTCACTGTCGTCTGCTCATACTGAATAATATATCAAAATTTGATGTGTAAATTTTATAAAAATTGAACGCGAAATGATTGGAGATAAAAGTTGTTTGGATTAAAAATTTAATTTAATCTAATATTTGTTGTTTAAACTCTGTCCAACCAAGGAAGTTTTAAAAAACCAATTTGGCCTAGAAAACCTTCATGGATATGGGCTTCAATAGAAATTTGGAGAAATCGTTGATTGGTAGTTGGTAACTTGGTGAGTTTCAACAAAACAAGACTTTTAAAAGAACGATCTGTACTAGTTTTAAGTATCAAAAACTCGTTAAAATTTCTGAGTGAGAAGTTTTGCAACGGTAGTGTAAAGTTGAGGATTGGGAGGGAGGTGGGTAGGGGGGGGGGTGTTCAATACCTTACAATTACGGGATACAGTTCCGATGAAGTGTCTGACAATATAATCATAAATCTTCCAAGATTCTCCGTCCAATTCTCCTCTGCTAACCGCCCTACACGGAGTTATCGGAGGATGGTCTCCAGCATCATGCCCTTTCCTAGGTTTAGAAATTCCTTCCTGGAGAAGAGCTTTACACTCTGCTCCCCAGTCCCCACTGTTCTGCTGCTGTCGGAGAATATCCTTAAGGTCGAAGCTCTCCGCGTACTGAGTTGACTCTGTTCTTGGATAGCTAATGTATCCCTGGATGTACAGGCGTTCCGCCAACGTCATGGCATGATGGGGTCCCATAGACAACCCGGAGCTCGCAACCCTCATCAGTTCAACTGTATTTAAAGCTATGGGTTTCTCCTTCTGTTTCTCTTTCACAACTACAGATTCTATTTTAGCAACACTCTCGGCTTTAACAAGGTTTAGAAACATAACTGCAACTTCCTTGTCGAAACATCGAACACGTTCCCACTCCAGGGGAACACGCAGTCCGGAGGCAGTCTCAACAGATACCTGGAGAACCCAGTAGGGTTCAGGTTTATGAGTCTGAATCTGATCATGTCTCTCTACACAGAACCCGAGAGTCGGGGTTTGACAAGGTCCGAAGGAGATTAGACTTGAGTCTAGATCTCCGTATTTACCCTGGAAAAATCTTGTTTGAAACCTTGTGAAAGCGCAACCAATCCTCAGATCCAGCTCCTGCCTAGCGTCCACTGACTTGGACTGGTTCTCATCCGGCTCCCCTAGATTGTTCATCGCAGCCGCAATGTCCTTGGCGGTAATTGACGAAAACTTGGCTCTGAACACCGTGCTACGATCAAGTCTACGCATCTGACCTCTGACGGCGTCCAGGACCTCAAAACAGATATTTTCTCCCTCCTTATCACAATCCAACCACAGCACGATATAATCACAACCCTTCGCCTCCTGGCTGAGAAACGAAGGCATACGGAGCTTTGCAGTCGCTTCTTTCTTCTCCGTCGCACAACTAAACAGTTCAGCTGGATCTACTCTAAACATAGAAAATGTTATCTTCATTATCTTATTTTTTATTGAAAAAAACAGTACTTGTCGAGGGAATGTTTATGGATGGTTAAAAGTAAAAAAATAACCAGAAAAAGAACGTTTTTAATTTTATAAATCTACCAATGTTGGAAGAAAAAATTCTCCAAATTTCGAGCTTCAGTTGCAAAAAAATGGCCGCTTCAATACAACATTTAAAAGAGGGACGCGAAGCGTCCTGAATGCTTGGTGAGGAATACTTACTTGTCCCAACTGTTGAACCTGGAGTCAAAGTCTAGGGACATCACATGTCCACATACACTTGTCATCTTGTACTTGACCTTCTCCCCGGTGGGAGGGAAGTTATCGTTCCACTCGTTCACATTACAAGCTCCGTTCGAACCTTTCCGGAAACTACAATTATTCCTGAAATACAAGTTTAATCAAGGTTTACTTTAATCTGTAAATTTTACTTCTCCTGTTGACTGGCTATAAAGCGCCCGAATTGAAAAAGTTAGAAATGTACAGGAGGTATATACTTTGCCCCCCCCCCCCCCCCACCACCCCCCCAATTCTTATAATTAGTTCCTTACAAAATTAAGGAATATTTGGATTTAAAGATCAAAAAGGGTAAAAAATTGACAGTTGATAGTTTATCCTTCCAGAGATGGTGGTAATTCGTATCAAATAAATACCACTGAGGTTCATGAAAAATGTGTTATGTTATCCTCTAGTAAAAGTTTATACCTGGAGAGTATATTGGAGATGGAGGTGGCTAGAGACGGTTTCTCCGCCACCATCAACACCGTCTTCATCTTTTTTTCTGGAATCATGCAACGGTTTAGTTTTAAAAAAGATCAAACAATCTTCCATAATAATAAAAATCGCCACTGAGTTTGTCAAGATAGAAAAAATTATCACAGCCAGAATGACATGAAAATGTAAAATAGAAAAGTATTTTTTTTTTCTTTATGTTCCAAGTTTATGAAGATTTTCGCAGACATGGTCCACGAGGTTTTTCACGTACTCCGGTGTGTTGGTGTTCTTCCGCATACCCGGAGAAAACTTGAATGTGTAGTCAGGACCGTACTGGAGAAAGAACGGATCTGTATCCGGAATATCTTCAGGAAGCGGAACTTCAAGGATATCCGCTGTTACCTTGGCCCAGCATCTGAAAAAATACCATTTAAAACATTTTCTAGAAAGTTTCATTTCTTTTATTCTTAATGTTTTGACTGAAACATCGTGTTCAAAGTATTTTCTCTTTAAAGTCTTGTAAAGCTGGAGTGAGGCATTCATTTATGAAAATGAAAGAAGGTCTTACTTGGCTGAGTTAGGAATATTATAACCTCCTCCACCCAAGAGCAGAACCGGTAAACCAACTTCTACAACCTGTTAGAAATATAGAATCAATTACAAATCTCATGAAATATAGCAAAACATTGCGGGAAAGACCATGTAAACCATTTTAGACGAAAAAGTCAAATAAATTCTTTTTTTTTGCTGTCAAACGGGCTTTTTGAATTAATCATGAGAAAAAAAAATAATCTAATATCAGAAAGATTAAAAGATTGAGGAGAAAGGTTTAGATAAGAAGATATTAACCTGTTTAGTACACTGAGAGAGAGAAAGAGGAGTCAGATTAAACCCTCCCAAAGGATCGCCTGCTAACCCGTCACAGCCACACTAGAACAAATAATACAATAAATAATGCAAATAACCTAACAAAAAAGAAAGTCAGAAAATATTTAAAGAGATCAACCAGTTCTATTCAATCACATTTCCAACAAAGAGCAAGGAAAATTAGAAATATACCTGTACAACAAATGCATCAGGGTTGAATCTACTAACAGCAAGCGGGAACACAGAGTTAAACACGGAGCAGAGGGTGGTATCATCACAGCCCTGGGACAAGGGAATATTCACACTGAAATTACAAAACATAATAGTTTAGAGTTTCCCTAGAAAAACATCACATTCTACTTGATCCATTTAGTTTATCATGAAACACCAGGGACACACATTTTGGGCATTCCTTTAAAAATTTGCAACAAAAAAAACAGTTTCAGAAATAGAGTTTCAATACAACTACCAAGTGGAACTGGACAGTTGATTAAGAAACGAGGAAAGTCATTTTCTGTTTCTTTTAAAAATAAGCTTCCAACCTATAATATTTGCCACGTCCGAACCCATTTTCTGTCAAGTCTCCGGTCCCAGGGAAGAACCCTGTCTCCAGCTGGTGGACGGAGAAGGTCAACACACGGTCAGTCGAGGAAAATGCGTCCTCAACTCCGTCCCCGTGATGAACGTCGAGATCAACATACATGATCCTCTTGAACCTCCGCTGCAGGCGGTGGATGGCGAGCACAATATCATTGATGTAGCAGAACCCCGCAGCAGAGTCTCTTTTGGCATGGTGCCAACCCCCGGACCAGTTAATAGCAACACGTACTCGGCCTTCCAGTAGGAGATCGGCGGCCGTTAATGACCCAGCGGCCAGGGTCTGAACGAAAACATCCATGTTTTCTAGAACAGGGCAATCATATCCAAGCCCAAACTCTTCTTCATCCTAGGAGGATTTATATCAAAAAAGGAAAATTTTTTGTAATCTTTTGAAATTTCTATACAATCTTGATAACTCCTTGCAGCACAATCAAATATTTGCAACATTGGATTGCGACTTGTATTTTTATTTTCTTGCGCGGATTATTTCAATTCAACTTCGCTATAACCTGCAGGGATCCCTTTAATTGTGGGATCAAGCATTTCTCCTCAAATTTAAAGTGCCCACATTGGATATCAAGATCAGGCATTTAAGCGTAAGAATTCACACAAATTCCCAACCTCAGGTCAAATAATTTGTTTAAAACAAATTCTATATATCCTACATTATCAGGACTAAACTTACAACGGTCTCAGACCTTTAAGTCCTCGACCGAATTTTGTGGAAATACATTATTATTATTATTATTATTATTACCTGAAGGTTTGGATTGGAAAGAAAATCCACGTACTCCTGAGAGTGGAAAACCCGGAGATCATCTATAATGGCCGGTCTTAGGGGAAACAGTTTCAGTCTCTATACAACAAATAGTTAGTCCTGTAATCCAATCAATCCAACCAAGAGTTTATTGCTGAACAACAATTTCTTGGAGGAGGGGGGGATTATTTGAAATTAGTTTCGTAGAACTGACCTTGCCTTAATAAGTAAGGTTGTAGAGAGAAGAGAATGAACTATCAAAGATCTTTTTCCAATCTTATCAATCCTGGCGCATTCATCAACCAACTTCCGGTCGCAAATATATCCAACTTCCGGTCTAGGTAGTCCTGAATACGTTCAATTATGTTGTTAGAAGGCGAAGAAATTTAACAGAAAATATTTACTCTCAAACTTTAAATTCTGACCATCCATAAACCTACCCTAGGGTCATGCGAGGTCCCACAAACAGACAAGCAAAGTATTAATATATATATATATATATATATTATACATAATTTCAATTTAGATTTCTCCTTAAATATTTACATTGTAGAGAGTAAAACATATATAATTCATGAACCTTGCATTTCTTGCACAAATATTTTATTATCGACTTTTATCATTTTAAGACTCTTCCTCTTGTAAGTAATTATAGGTACGACATTAAGCTCGATTTTTCTAATCAAAAACTATTCAGAAAAGAAAGCTTTGTTTGAAACCCTCCAGAATTTAAAAATAAAATTAGATTTGAAATATTATTTGTTTATAAAACAGAAATTTATCTTTTAACCTTTAGTTTTTAGTTCTTCCTGAACCACACTGGGCTGACAGTTCTTCTCCATTTTCTTTCTAAAAATAACTAGTTTATTTTCCTTGCTACGATTATACAGTGCTATTCTAAATAAACTGGACTAATTTATTGATATACTTGAAAGTTGTTTTTTTATCTAAGATTTAGTATCCGGCATTAATTTGGCAACCTAACTTTAACAATAACCACCATATGGCCCTAGTCATGCATTTTCTAAAATGTGGTCTGCCTTTTTTTTGGTTTTCAAAAAATCCAGAGATATTAAATTTTGTTAAGATTTCAATTTATTAACTTAAATAATAAAAATTGTTTAATTCTCTGAAAAAAAAATCCTTCATATCTCCGGTGATTATGAGAGCATACAAAAATGTGGTCTACATTTTGGAAATGCCAGAACTAGGGTTATTTTATGTTGTGTTATAAAAATGCTTAAATTAGGGTGCCAAATAAAAGGTCAAAGACGACTTTCATGTCTTTATCAATCAACAAACTATTCCGGTTAATTTAGAATAGCAATGTAATAAGCATTTATCCATTTATCTATCTATCTATCTATCTATATATATATATATCCGTTAAATTTACATTAATGTTGACAAATGTTTTATATATATAAAGAGTTTCAGCATTATAGGGCAATATAAACTATGGCACTAGAGTAAGGGAAACAAGATCATACGACTGTACGTAAGAGTAAATGTATGACATACTCAAATATGACTGAGNAACACAATAGGAATAGCATAATTTGAAATCATAGGGAAGAAAGTTAACAAATATAACAACATGATTAAACTATAAAAATAAACTATTCCTGGTTTAGTTTAACAAAATAACGTTCAGATCCAGTTTTAAGACCTAGTAGGAACACTTTAACTATCAACACCAACACCCACAGAGAAGTACGGATAAATAAGTATCCTTACTCAGGGTGCAGGTTCAGAGCCCGGATCAGGATAATTCTCCGATGGGTGCGTTCTCCAGCCACAGTTTGTGAATGAACTGATATAGTTTATCTGAGACTGAAACCTTGTAAGGCGTTGGGTTGAGACTACGCTTGTGATCAGGACGAAGTATTTTCAAGGATTCCTGAGCGTTCTCCCGAGTAGTTTCCAGGGACTGAGTCTCCAGGCAGACTCCAGGTCCCCAAACTTTATCAAACAGCTCCTCAACCTAATATGATAAGTTTAAACATGGCAAATAAATATATTTTTTTTTAACTTGATTGTCAAAACTGTAAAAATGAAAATTCGCAGAACCGGTAACTACTATATGAGATTAAACTGTTTAATTCAAATATTATTATTTTATTATTTATTAATATTGAAATTACAGGATAAGACTTCAGAGACGACTGCTCTGAAATTATTCGGTCTTTTTTCTAACATTTTTGGTTCCCTGAAGCTATTAACTTATTTCTTTCTTAAATATTAATTAATATAAAGGGTTTCAAGTCGTGATTTATAAATATGCAAACTACAGATTAAATACTATATAAGGCTGGATTTAAACGCTTTTAGAGGACTTAAACTATTCGTAACAAGCGTAAATCCTTTTCTTATTCAAAAGTTTTGGGTCTAATTTAAATCTTTTAACCTTGTGCGGAACAACATAAGCTCTTTTTGATTCTTCAAAGGGATGCCGACAAAGAACCCTGACTCCAGCCTAAATTATCATATATTACATATATATATATACAAACTGAGAAATGTAAAATATGCATTTTGAAAGTGGAAACCCTGAGTTTAATTATACCATGAATGGCTGTGCTCTGAGCAGTGTTGAGAGGAGAGAGATATTGGAGTGTTTATCAACAAATATTTAAAACCCAGTATGTGTAGAAGCAGTAACTAGATCCTTTCACTTCAGAGACAGGAATATATTTCTCAGATTATTCACCACCTATGTCAAACCTCACCACGAGTTTTCTACTCCAGTCTGGGCTCCAACCTCACTACAGGATATTACGTTTAAAGAAGAAGTCCAAATGCAAGCTGTGAACATTGTAAGTGGATTGAAATCAGTTGGATATACTGAAAAACTCAAAGACCTAGGACTTATCTCCCTTGAAACAAGAAGAACTATATATGATCTAATACAAACCTACAAAACCCTGGAAGTTGAAGGAGATTTACTCTGGTTTAAAAGAGTTAATCAAGTATCTGTGAGAGCTACCAGAAAGTCAGATAATAGAACCAGGCTGACTAAACAGAGAACCAACACCACCATCAGAAGTAATTTCTTTACCAAAGAGTAATTGATGATTGGAACCAGTTACCCACCAAAATTAGAGAGTCCCAAAATATCAAGATATTTAACAGAAATCTAGATGAAGATCTATCTTCTTCTGAGATGAATATAAGAATGAGAGTACTCTCCAAGTATGCAAGCAACTATATAGTCTAGTTTTTGCTTTTTTGGCGGTTTTTAAAAAATTTTTATGTACATTGAAAATAGTAATGAAGTACAATTCAAAAATCCATCTGTGAGCTTGCCTGTGGAGGTTCCTCCTCTGGAGTTTGTAATAGATCAAGGATTGAGAACCCGTCTATACCGTAGAGACGGTATCCACGCTTTCTTCCAGGCATCGTCACCTTCTCCACGTCCTGGGAGAGCTTGAGACGGGGCATACCGTCAATCTCAACCAACTTAAACACACAACCTAAGAAATTAAATACAAAGAGTTTAAAAAATATTCATAATACATAAATACTAATCACATAATCACATGTTCTGATATTCATAACCTTACCTAGAGCTGGTTGCTTCTGACACGTGACGAGATGAGTTCCGATCCCTAAACACGTGATTTGATGTCCCTGTTCATTCAACGAGAGGATAGTTTCTTCGTTAATATCGTTGGATGCGACGATCTGAAGATCAGTAAACCAGGGAACAGAAAACCTGTAATTATTAATATCATTTTAGTTTTGATTTAATTCCAATTCTTTTTATAAGATAGCTAGGTAAACTTTATTTCATATTTAGCATTTTTTCAAAGAAAACATATTTTTGTACAAGTTAAAATGTTGTTACTAACCTTGCGGCTATTTTTTCAAACACTTTCTTCACCAAAGTTGATAAGTACGCTAAATCCCCAGAATCAATCCGCACACCAACTGCTCGATAACCAAGATCATTGAGAGCGAGCGCAACCGCGCAGAAGTTTAAAATTCCACTCTTGCAAACATCGTAGGTGTCGATGAGTGCAAGAAACTCGTGCGGGAATGCAAGCGCATAACTGGCGAACGCAGCGCGCTCTCCCTCGCTGCTCTCTGTTCCCATGAGCTTGAGTAGCTCTGCAACTTGAGTATGTCGGTGAGAGACCAGGGAAAGAAAATCCTGGTCCCCTTCAGGTTTAAACCCTGGATTAGGAAGCAGAGTCTTTCCCTCAATCTCCTTCATGTTCAGATAGGACGAGACAAATGCGTGTGCGTGAGTTCCTTTAACCGGAATTCCAAAAAGCTTTCCAGCAAGAACATTCGAGGTACCGTCAAACCCTCCCATGTAGGAGTACTTAGAAGCCGACAGTCCGCCGTTAGGACCCTGAGCTCGGCGCAGTCCAAACTCGTACAATTTCATTCGGCGGCCCGCAGCGATTCTGAATCTGGCCGCGTTTGTTGCAACCAGACTCGCGTAGTTGATCAAGTTTAAGAATATAGTTTCCAGTAGTTGAACCATGATTAGGGGTCCTGTCACAGTCATCAAGGGGATGCGAGGAAAACACACGGAACCCTCCGACAACGACTCAATAACGATATCTGAAGGTTTTAGTACTTTCAAAAAGGAGAAAAATGCATCCTCACAGTGCGGCATCAGAGTTTTCAAATACTCGATATCGGAATCCTTGATATTAAACCTTTTCAGAAAGTCAATACAGTCTAGAAGTCCAGCAAAGACGGTGAATTCTCCCCTGAACGGATTCTTTCTGAAAAAGAGATCGAAGGTGGCGATGGTGTTGTGCTTCCCAGACTTCCAGTACGCGTACGCCATGGTTATTTGGTACAGGTCGGTGAGGAGGGGTTCTATCACGGTATTGATCCTCTCATTTCCAGGTGGCGAGTATTCAACGCGAGATCGCTTTTCAGGTGACATATTAAATACATAGATTTATCTCTGAAAAAAACTAATTATAATTCTTTCTGTAGGTTTATGGGGAATTATCTTTCCCGGACTAAAGATTTAGAGCACCTTTATTTTGAAAAATCCAATTCCTTATTACTAATCCTCAGGAAAATGCTTTTCAAAGATATCCTACTGAACTATGTGGATGTGGACGCGCAGAGGAACCCCATCAAAAGCACCGCAATGGAGAGCCACCGAAAATCAAAATATCAATAACTTCATCATCTATTTTTTTTACATAAGTCCTGAAATTTTTATCCTTTGTAAACTAATTTTCGTCGATTTTGACTATGGACAATCTTGAAATCTCAAAATACCGGGTCTGTATTCAAAGTATATGGTAAGTAGATAAACAAAACAGAGAAACTTAGGCTCTAAGTCGAAAAAAGGATAAGGTAAGTAACAAGATAAATACATTCATGATTGAAGTAAAAAATGATGATAAAGTTCGGCCAGGAAAGATCAAATTTGAGGATGAATTTTACAAACTATTTAAGAGGGTGGACGATGCAATCCGATAATTTCCTGCGACATAAAGCCCAAAAAATCAAAGAATTTTTACGAAAATAACGATTTTGACAATTTGGGAGTTTACTAATGTAAATTAATGTAATATACAAAATTGAACTGAGTATCAACACAAAGACTTTTTATTTTAAGAATTTTTGAAATTTAGATTTTTACAATAATTGCGTATTCATGGGTTTCGATAGGTGACCCGGCATTCCGGGTTTACTAAGTCGTTCGTTCCAAAAATCGTCATTGGATCTGAAATGTAAGAGGATCTTAAATGTAAGACATGTGGCCGCAGCGCTCGGCCCAGAAAGTGTATTAACCTAACCTAACCCTAAATAAAAGAAAGTGTCAGAACTTAACCTAAACCGTGGCCGCAGCGCTCGGCCCCCTAGCCTGTCCTAGCCGCAGCGCTCGTCCCAGAAAGTGTCTTAACCTGACCTAACCCTAAATAATAATAAAAAATAATAATAAATTTGCTGATAAATAAGTGGTCATGTACAAAATTAATAGGAGGGGGGGCGGGGGGGGGGGTCCAAAAATCGTATACTAGGACGGACCCAGAAAGTGTCTTACCCTAGCCTAACCCTAAATATATACTAATCTTATATGTATTACATAGATATAATTGACCATGTGGCCGCAGCGCTCGGCCAAGAAAGTGCCTTAACCTAACCTAACCCTAAATAAATACTAATTTAATTGAAAATTGTTGAAAAAGTGGTCATTTGATAGGAGGGGGGGAAGGGCGGGGGGGGTCCAAAAATCGTTCTCTAGAACGGACCCAATAATCCATTGTGTAATCCAAAGTATCTGGGTCTGAGAAGATTACATACACAGAATCCTCGGGCAATTCACTTCACAGAAACCAGAAACGTCAAACTTAACGTCAACTTAACGCAAGCCGCTTGCTTCTTTGGTCGGTCGGTATTCGATGCGCGTGCGATGCTACGTATGCCGCAAACTAATTTGATTAATATTGAATTATTTTCATGGTCGTCTTTGTATTTTTGATTTATCGATTAATAAACGTCGTGAAGGCGGGGAAAAAATACCTCAACAATTCTATTATTTTCTAATCCAAGTCACCTCAAAAAGCTCATACTAACTAAATTCATCTGCAGAGCTCTCCAATGATTAAAATTCAATCGTATTAGGAATAGGATAGAATAATTTTGCAAACGTACTTGCTGACTTTTCATCTTAAAATAAAATGGCAAAAAAGGACATAAACTTCAATAGAAAAAATAAATCTTTCTGTAAAGGTAGTTGCAATGGACTGACTTTTCGACAGTTTTCGTCTAGAAAAACAAAAGAAAAAAGGAAAAAAATGATTTTTTGTCTAATGGGGAAAAAAATAATCCAAAATTGGCCCAAAAAAGAGACTTTTCGACCACGAAGATCCGGAAGATTTTAATAAGGAAAGTGCTAATTTTAACAATGACAAATTTTGCATCAGGAGAAAAAATAAAACAAATGGACTTCTAGTAAAACTCAAGCTTATCATCATATATGAAAGAATTGTTACAAGTATCTCATGATTCACAGGTTTGGTGGAATTTTAGTTTAAATATGAAATCAGTACTTATACCTGAGGATATAAACTTGAGTAATCTGGAGATTAAGATTTTTGAATCTGCATGATTTTACATATATATACATATGAGATCAAAAATTTTTAATGTTTGAGATTAGAATCGTTGAATCATTCTGAAATCATAATTTAACACGACTTCGTCTTCCTTCCCGAAGGAGCTTTAAACCTTCATTTTTGGATTCGGCTTGACATTCGGTGATTCTTCTTTAGTTCCATGCTATCAAAAAAATAAGTCATCAAAAAACATCCTGTAGAGCACATTGTTGTAACAATCAATTTTAAAATCGCATCAGGTTCTCCCATCCAACACATATGGAAAGGTTTGCTAATGTGGGAGCTACCCTGGTTCCAATTGTACTTCATGAAAATAAGGTTTGTTTCAGAACTCAAATGTATGAGAAACCTAAACAATTATAATCAATCTATATTTAATAAGGACATCTTTTGGTACTGATTTGTCTGCTCCTGTCTTTCTTGCACCATTCTTCTTTAAGACCCATAAATTCACCATGAAAACCTCTTAAATTTTTTCCAGACCCAGATATTTAACTTTAAACCCTAATGATCTGATACCATCCACTTCCTTCAGGTTGATTCAAATTCTCATCTTGTTTTTAGGTTAATACAATATGACCATAGAATTTTACATCTAAATTCTAATTAATTAAGCATGACGTTGTAATTAATTAAAGTTCCCTGACGAATCATTCATTTTCATGAATTTTAATCATGAATTTTCAGTGGGAGGTAAAAACTAGAATTACGAATATCTTTCATATGATGATTTCAAAGGATACAAAACTAAGGTGCATCCTTTGACTGTTGGACGAGGGCGGGAAGGCGACGCGGCCATGAAATGAACCCTTTGGAAAAGTCTCCGAAACTTGCAGACAGGGCCGTAACTGAAGGGGTCCGGGGCACACGCCCCCCCCCTTGTGTTCCTACAGGGGGCCCGTCTTCACTTATGGCTTTAAATTTTTGCTAAAACGTGTCTTAAGACTGTTAAGGTCAACTCACAAAATTTGGAGACCCTGCCATTAACAATAAAAAAATATCTCAAAAAAAAAACAAAATCAGCTTTATCAAGTCTTGAAACTAAAGATACATTTGTTTTTAGACCGAAAATATAATTTAATATCTTAAAAATGGATTTACTCAAAATTCCCTAGATGGCAATTCCTGAAAACTGAGATTAAAATTCAGTAGACTGTATATTAATATATTTTAAAGAACAAGTTTATGTGTTTTGACTTGAAACCTGATGGTCCATTGTCAGCAGTGTGAACTATTAACTTGAGTCTAGAAGTCAACTTCCTATTCCAGTTTTTCTGGTTAATACTGAATTTCATTTATTCAATTATTTAATAATTTCTGCCCTGTTTCATTTGTCAAATCTTAAACTGTAGTAAACGCCTACTCCATAACAAGTCCTAGAAACATATCTATCCAGGTACAACTGTCTGCTATCAAAGTCAACCAGGACACGATCCAAATGGCTACAACCCTGTGAACAATCAACGCCACTACCACTAGGCGCTATCAGTGTCAGTACCTACACTAGCTATTTGCCAAGGGACACAGGCTTAGCTATCGAACAAGTGATTAACGAAGCTCTAAATGCAACATGCAGGAACACAAGGTAAGCTATCAAACAAGCTATTAATTGAGCTCTAAATGTCACACAGGGACACAAGTGTAGCTATCAGACAATCTCTTAATAATCAAGGTATGATCTCAGCCCGTATGTTTCAGCAAGGACACAGCTATCAAACAAGCTCGTAATCGATCTATACCAAATACTGAGGTGTGATCTCAGCCGTATGTTTGTTACTTCAACAAGAACACAGTTAGCTATCAAAAAAGCTCGTAATCAATCTATACCAAATACCAAGTCCATATGTTTCAACGAGGACACAATTACTCTACACTGTAATCAAAGCAGAGTTTCTTTATTAACTAAGGTATATTTCTTCAGTAGATTAGAATTGGGTCTTTAACAGCGTAATTACAATTTATACGCTGTTATAAATGACATAGTTAAGCAATCACAATAACAAAAACAGTAGCCTTAGTTTGTCAGTATAATATCTCCTGGGATCTTTTATTCTTGTCTGTCTTCTGTTGTTGTATTCCAGTTTTCTGCCTTTTCCCTCTTTTTCTTTTGAGAATTTTTTCAATAATTCAGTAAAGAACTCTCCTGTTCTATGCGTATCTAATGCTATTCTATCTCCTGTAGGCTGCAAGAGTGCTATCTCCTGTCTATCCTCTCCTGTGATACACGCCAACAACATATATTTTACTCCATCGCTTGGGATTGTTTGCCACACATGATTAGACAAATGATTTTCCAATTTCTCGCACCAGGTAAACAATTCTATTGGATTTCCAGCATATTGAAGAGCCTTTTCAATAAATGCTAGGATTACTTTATTAAGAGCAGTTTCAAATTTACATAGTTTCTCATAGGTGTCCTCATTTGCCTCTCCATTTATCACCTTTGCAACGAGGTAATCCTTACTTTTCTGATTTGCACAACAGTTGCGTGGTTTTGCACGAAATGACTTTTTTTGCACGAAATTCCGCATCATTTTTGTATCAATACAAAACCAGTTATGCACAAAATTGCGCATTCATTTGAATTAAATAAATTTTATTTGCACACAATTTTGCCTATATACAAAATTAAAGTCATAATTTCCTCGTGATATTGCACATGAATACAAGTCATGTGCAATGCCCATGAATACGAAAAATTGAAATTTTCGTACTGCAGTATTTTGCATGAAAACGAAATTAAGTAATATTTGTTTGATGTCAAATAATTCATACATATGAAAGATTATAATATTTGGACAGTATGGTGTGAATTAGTTTCAGTAATAAACAACATCCATCTCATTCTGCTCGTGTAAATTATAGTTACAAGTTAGTTACATCTTCTACTACTTACTTTACAGTTTATATTCTAAATCGTTTTGTATTTTTATATTAATATAGGATCTACATCATGTTCTATTTTATACCCCATCCCTCCCTCCCTCCCTCCCTCATCTCTAAATATTGTACAATAATAAAACAAAATATTGAGCTTTCAAATATGTATGAATAGGTATATTTCATATGTATTACAGTGCCTCCTATTGAGAAATCTTTAAAACTATTTCTCCCATTCCTTACCCCCAATCCCTTAACCCCCCCCCCCCCTCAAATTCAACCAGTTAGAGAAGAGAAATGTTTAGTTAGCCAATGAGAGAAGAGTTGCAAACAGATATATTTCTTTTATTGGACTGATACAAAGCATTTGATAAAGTGAAACATTTTATTGGATTTGATAATCGCGGGATCAGAAACCTGTATGTGTACAAACACAGTTATTTTAAAAACTGGATTTTTTAATAAGTTCCTACTTTTATATTCGCAATTAAAGTGTAATTTCAAGTTACCCTCCATGCAAAGATAGAATGGCAATGCTCGATTAACCCCGGTACCCTTGAAACATTTATCTGGCTAATAATGGAGAAGATATTGTCTTTCAATGTTTAACTCCTATTTCTTTCTTCTGTAGCAGAAATGCATAAGTCACTTTTAAAATTGAAAATCTATCTATATAATAAAACAAGACATTCATATATATGCTGCCTATAGACGGCCCAACGGCTGGACCGAATGGGCTGAATTTGTTTGTGGACACTCGTGGGTGGCCGGGGGTTGTCTACTGTGTAAGGCTAAAAAAAATCGAAAATTTTTGTTTTCAATCGAAAGTTTTTGTTTTCTAAAAAAAATTAAAATTTATTTTTTTTCAAAACTATTTTTTCAAATTTTTCTTTTATACGGACAACGCCTGGCCCTTCAGCTTGTATTCAATATTTTTAAATTAAAAAATTATATCTAATTTATGCTAAATCAGACAAAGCATAGGCATGGCCATCCTTGTTTGGAGGTTAACTTGAAATTACGCTTACAGACAAATTTTTACATTCTGAGCATACATATAACCGTTTGGACGTGTTTTGGATACAAACGGACAACAACAGACAGACAAGCAAAGTATATAAATAGAGAGATTTGGCTTGTGGGGGGTTGTCTAGGGGGTACAAGAGAGAGATTTACCCCCCCCCCCCCCCC